TCCCCCCCAAAATTATAATGGATCGCACTTAAATAGTCTATATAGCGTCCGGTTAAACAGCTATTTTACAACACAAATATATTGCATAGTCCATTGCATATTTGCACGACGTGGATGAAATACTTACCACGTTGATCAAAGCAGACGATCTGTTGCACATCTTCCATGGTATTACAGCGGTGTCCATGGACACGTAATGGCGCCTCGTTGATAAACAGCGGAAGAAATATACCATTCTGAATAGAAATACGGAGAATCTTGACATTTGCAGTGATGTATAAGGTAGCAAATTCGATCGTTAAATACGTAGCTATAAAAGACAAACTTACTTACCTCCATAACCTCCAAACAATGAAAGACATTTCGGTCTTTGTGTAAAGAAAGCGCACATGGACGRCAGAGAAACACTCTGTGACCACAGTCTTTGCAGCGCACCGTAGCCTTCCCTTCTTCGCAAATGCGACATTGAGYGTCCTCCGGCATGAATGMCTCTTGGGCATAACATGCAAGCATGTCGGTTTGCAGATCTTTCCAAGACAGTTTAGAAGAAACTTTTCTTTGATAAYAGGAATGTCYAGCGTCTTCGRGAGCTTCCGAAACAATGCCCTCACTTCCAAAACAGCTGTTGCTATCACATTCCTTTGATTCTGCCTTACGAGATGTGCCTCCTGAGGCCGAGAGTGGTATGTTTTTTGACCATTTTGCGCCCTTAGATCTAAAATTCGCTTTCAAATAGAGTTGTTTACAATGAACCTTCCGTCGCTTTCGACCCGACATCTTGAAATGCGAGGTAATGAGTTGCGATCGTTTTGATTGGTTGCTTTGAACCAATCAGTTCACTCTTAGTTTTGAAGCAGCACAAAAAGTGATTTCTAATGGGCCGAGCCCGCATTTCTAAATTTTAGAAGTACGGGGTGAGCCCATTTAGAACACGCGAACCAGGTGAGCTTAGAGACTAGATTACGAATTATCATGATTTRCATAGGCTTGGTCTTGGAAATACCAGTTTTCATCAATYGAACCATGTCCACCACCAGCTTTTCGTCGTCCCAACTCAGGCATGCATCATGGAGACAGTCCTCCCATTCTCTTTGCGACATTATCCTACGAAMCAGATGTTTAATCGTCTTTTCAGAAGATTTTCGCTTTTCATGTTCCATTGCATATGCATCTGTTGTTTCTCCGGTTTTTGCGTATCGTTTATTGAACCCTTTTGCACCCAATCTGTTCTTGCAAGTAAACAAACTGCCGGACTTTCGATGTCGCATTGTATTCTTTAGATCGCGCAAYTGRCTGAAGCAATTGTCACATGTATAAAGATGTTCACYATGAGAAAATGCTTGTCCTGTTCAATTAGGTTGAAGACTTTTGATGCCACCGCTTATTTTCATAATCTGTCCATTTGGTAATATTGTTTTACGGATAGGAACGAAAACTGATTTTGACAAAGAATTGGCTTCATTCTGAAGAATGGATGCGTCTATAGGATGTTTTTCTTTCCAGCCTTTATACTTAACACAACTCTCATGACCTCCTTCTTCTTTAAAACATGTAATGATAGCCTCTTTAAGGCGTGCCTTAAAAAAGAGTTTCTGCAGTCGTCCTCCTGATTTGTTTGCCATCCTTAAAATTAACAACAATCGACCTTTTTTGATGTATACTTATGTGGATGGCATTCGGAGGTCGCAGCTGTAGTTTAAAGTATCAGAAACGACAGAAAAGAAATCATACATGGTTTTCCCTTTGACCATTTTCYTTTCAGTGCAAGGGGAAACTTAGTCCAAAACGAAACAGCTTCTCGGTGACATTTGGAAACACTGTGCTCATATAATTGCACGAGCCCCGAGAACCCTACTTTTGCTGTTCCATGAAGTATAGAATCTGGAGCAGCTGTTTTAGACTTACAGGACGCATGAGAGAGGTTATTTTYGATGGCATACTTTAGCCAAGGCATGCAAACAGCACATTGAAAATTGGCGTTTTCAACCTGAGGGAAAACGTCACCTTTAAATGTGAAGTCGTTGATTTGGGCAGCAACACTTCCAACTTCAATAGGTGGAAAACAAGTGCCAACAAATGCTCTTAAACGTAAATCCTTGAAATTAGTACCTGTTCCTACGCATTTGGATGCAATTTCCTTCCTTTSCGAAGACAGGGAGCCAGGAACCTGAAACAAATTTCTTAGATATTCCTTAAAAGAATATGGTTTTCCAGGGAGTATCGCGGGAAGAAGCTTGTCAAGGTGTTTTCGGTACTTCACAAAACATACCCCTGTCAAAGGTCTCATCGTCAGAGATTGTTATGCACTCCTTATCGCTGTCACCTTTATCACTGTCATCTTTATCGCTATGGGCTTTATCCGTATCCTCGCTATCGCTAACTATCTTTATCGCTGTCATCTTCACTAGCATATTCATTGCAAGCCACATGGTCAGCTTGTCCTTCGTGCACACCCTAGGTCGGTTCCAAGTGTGCATCCCCATCGAAAGAATAGTCATCAATTCTGTTTTCAATTTCATGAACTGGAAAGTGTGATACTTCACCTATTTGCACGTCGTCAGACATCGAATGCTCCATGTTGTATTTGCGAATTTCCCCATCAAAAGAATAGTCATCAATTCCGTTTTCAATTTCATAAACTGGAAAGTGTGATACTTCACCTATTTGCACGTCGTCGGACATCGAATGCTCCATGTTGTAGTTGCGACTTTGGCCATTCTCTTCGGTGCTTTCTCGGGTACATTTTCTAGTGCTACTTGAGCTGTCTTAACAAAGTTTCCTTTTCAAAAAAGTGTATTTTTTGGACTTCTTTATAAATTTTGTCTTCGGATAGGAGCCTTTTATCGCGTGACCAATTAAAATTGAAATCATTTCTTTTCTCTCTTCGCTGAARCTGTAGTTTTCGCAGAAATTCTGCCAGAGATCTTCTTTTGTTACTTCAGTACTTTCATTTCCTTCTTTATAGTACTCGGTCAGCCAGCTTTGTACCATATCTAAAGACATTTTCCGCTCTTTTTTTCTTTTTTGAAGGAGGTGTTTCCTGTTKTCAGCAGTCGTTAATATTTCCAGTCCATAGTAGCCAACTCTCTTCCCCTTTTTCAATTTCTGCTTAATATTCTTTGACTTTCAAAGAACAACGCCCAGCTATGGAAAATTTTTTTTCCTTCCGTTGTCCTCCGTTGAGCCGCTGAAAGTTGAAAAGCTGCTCCACAAAGCATCTTTAGAGACGAACTGCTTTGAGAATTCACATTCCCTCAGGCAACTCTTTGACCACCTATTGACATCCTATTGACATCTTTACACTCACTGACGAGATTCACTCATACRACACTAGGTTYGCAAAATCGAAAAGTTTCTATCACCTATCATCTCGTCTACAAACACAGCATCTTTCATTCTCTAGGTTTGGTGTAAGATTGTGGAATCAGATACCAGTTGAAATAAAGGGCCTATCAAAAAAGTACTTCAAAGTTGAACTACGCCAATGTCTTTTTAAGCTCTTCGAGCAAGAAGGCTACTCTGGAAACATAAATTATCAAAACTCAATGAAACTAAGTAATTCGTAAATGAACGCTTTCTTTTTTTTTTCTCCTTTCTCTTTTTCTTTCTTTTTCTTATATATATACATACTATATATATTTTTTTCTTTCTACTCAACAAATAGATATAAATAAGTCAAAAAAGTGTAA